ACGCCCAACCTCTACTTGGAACAGAGGATTTTGCCTCAATCACAAGTCTATTCTAGAGGAAACCTTTGGTGCAAAAGCTCTTTTCAGTCCAGACAATAGAATTTCAAAATTTTAAATATCAAATTCAAGCAAGTCATGGTTGAGCATTTATATGATTTTAAGCCACGCGAATTAGGAGCAGCCTAGCAAAGGTAATTCCATCTAATGTAATGCTTTGTTTCCCACTCCACAGCTGAATTAAAACTCAACCGTATGATAACTTTTGGAGGAAAAAAAAACTTTTTCAAACGTTAAAATATATTCTTTCCGTTTTAAAATGTAAGATGTTTTGGAGGTTTTTATTTTATTTTAAAATGTAAGATGTTTTGACAATACTAGTTAATTTTTAACTTTATTGTATATTGTATGACCACTAGTATTTTGCGGTCTTTGTGTGATTGGTCAAATTATTTTTATTAGATATATTAAATGATATTTTTTTTTAAATTAATTTTTTAATATTCGCGTTTTTACCTAAAACATCTTATATTTTAAAAGGCAAAGAGTATATTTTAGTTGACCAAGAAAAAGAAAAAGAATTCATTTTCCAAACTAATAAGTTACCAATGCCAAAAAAAAACTTCAAGTCTTGACAATGAAAAACAAAGATACGTTTTTTTATCTCTTTGAAAAAAACAAAGAAACGTGTTTGTGTAAATTTTAAGTATGTGGGACTGATGGTTATATTTTTAAACTCGTCCAAAACCACCAATACACACAATTTTCTCCTCTTCTTCCTTAAATTCTGTTTAAGACCTTTCGTTTTAATTTAATGGATTTCCCTTGCAGAGTTCGCCTAAATATAAATAAATAAAAACTGTTTTACACTTTTACTACATTTTTTAGAAAAACTTAAAAGTATTATTCTGCATCAAATACAAGAAGTAAAATGCCAATCAATAGCTTACATTCTTTCACAAAAAAAAAAACTAATAGCTGACATAATAATATATTTATCAGTTTGTTGACATCTTAGAGCATGATCAATGCAAGGGGTGCTTATGGAGGTGTG